TTTTGCTGTTCTAACCAACAAATGTTGAATAAACTTTTGCTTGTTGATTTTTTTTGTGTGTCCCATTCTGCAGCTCCTATCAACCTATACGTAACGCCATCTCAGCTGAATTTCAATACAAACACATGCCGTTGCTTAACGTGTATGCAGGAGCGTCATGCCTTTCATGCAATTTGCAGCAACGCATCGTTATTTTGTCGTCACCATTCAATTCCCCGTCACTAAGGTACACAGCTTCGTCTTATCAGCTGCTGAGCTCCATTTGTTGCTGCTGATTGTCGTCACTCTGGTTCTGGTTGTTGCAGACTCTTTGTCGCTGCTTTGTTTTGTTAACTCATGCGCGCAATTACGCTACTTAAGCGAGTACTTTCCATAGCCCTTATTCCACAACGCCACACTGCCAATGATGGTATTTAAGGCAAGCTAGCTGCCAATGTTACTGCGTCTACCGCTTTGTAAGTGTTTGCCGCAAACTTTCCAACATATTTAACCAAATCTAAAGTTTATTTTCCTCTTAAAGCTCATGCCCAAATGTGTACGAATACCCAAATCATTCGCGCCTACAGGGCGTATGAGTATCTTCTCACCTCACACGCGCGCTGTTTTGACAAGTGTTTCACATACGCCATGTCGTCGCGGTTCGAAGTTTGCATACTACTTTTAGCTACTTCAAAGTTAGTCTCATTTACTTCGCACACTAAATATATGCACATATATTGCCATTTTTATTTGCATACTTTTACTGAAGTTTCACTCGAAAAGCAAAATATTTTACAATATTTTATTTCTATTTAGATTATTGTGCTATAAAAATGTTACTTTTGCTTTTGAATGATAATAATAACTGCAAATTTAATACTTTTAAATTTATTTCTTTCAGCTAAAAGTACAAGAAGCAATGCGTAAAAAAGAAAAGTTTCAACGGGAACACGAGGAGGTAAGACCACATATATTAAAATTTTGTATGTTTTTTTTTTAATTAAATTTAGTCCTATGGGTTTGTGCGATGTACGAACAGGCGCACGTCTTCTTTAAAAAAGCAAACATACTGAGGAATTTGAAAACGTTTTAAGAAATATTAGGGTTTCAAAATCAGATGCTGTAAGTGAGGCTTCTATTATAAGGAATGTGTTGAAACTCGTAAGCTATAAAATCGAGCGAGTTGCAAAATTCGTTTTAAGGCTATGCACTTAAAGAAAACCAAATTTGTGTGCTATAACCGCATATGTAAGTGATATTGTCCGTGCACAACACAAAATTTTTAATCTTTCCTTATTTTCGCTAGCTAGAGCTATAAGAAATCTTGATTCAAGCAAAGCATTCGGAAATTAACTACAGTTGATCCGGATTAAGTCCTAGAGTTCATTCCCAAAATTAATTCGGATCAAGAAAATTCTCATTGACAACGCTGGTAAAAACGGTCCGCTGTTGTCTATTGTATAAATAAGCAAACAAAGCAAGAGAGTTTGGCGTCTGCGGTAGCCAAGTGGTGATAGCCGTGTACTACAAGTCTGTAGGTCCCAGATTCGATCCTCGGTTGGAGCGATTACCAAAAATTTTTGGTTTTTACTTTACTCATTTTATTTTATTTCATTTCATTTATTGCGAAAAAAAAAACATTAAAACAATAAGATCTATGATCATTTATAGTACCACAAGTAACAGGAAGTGTCAGAAAAATAAAAAAAATATATGGTAGTTCTTAAAGCTAAGATTTACAATAAACATAAAAATAAAAATTCGTAGAACTAGGATTTATAATCAGGAGCGGTTCGAACC